ATGTGGATGTGGGAAGAATGGATACAAAATCGTACCCAGTGGCATGAAGAATGAACACTTTATGTGATGGTCCACCAAAGCCCCAAACCCTGCCAACAGTGAGAACAACCCCAACACCCCTCCCTTAAGCTTGGAAGGCTGAACACCACGTCCCTGCTGTCCCAGATGACACTTCTCCCAGCTGCCGGCATTCAGAAGAAGAACGCCGGAAAAACCGGCGGGGACGGGACTCCCATCTGCCTTCTCCCATCCCGCTTCTCCCCGCGGTGAGTCGTTTTCGGCCTTCCGGTGGCGATGGACTTGCGTAAGGCGTCCAAGTCCGTCTCGACGGCCTGCGACGGCAGGTGGCGAAGAGCCGTGGCCAACGACGCAGCTGGAACTGACTTCGCCGATCCTCAAAGCAGATACAGAAGCCAAAGAAGGTGATACAGTGGTGCGAAGCTGAAGGTCTCACTCCGCAGTTTGGGAATGCCCAGAAAAGGGCATGAACTGTAGCCTATACTGACAAACGAGGAACCTTAGACTCTAAACAATCGCAACTAGGAAAAAGTTTTTCTCAGCCAGAAAAAATGACATGGACACCTGGATACCCTCCAATAACAAAGTGTACCAAGGAATGAAACTGTTAAAGTTCTGGGGAGAGTAATGGTCTTTACCGTGTTTTTACAGTAATAGCCTTGAAACTAGGCTAGGGTAAGGGCAAAATGCATCTCTCAAGAGACAAGTTCAGAAGGTTTATCAAGTTTCATGGTTAAATCCAGGGTTCCTGAAATCAGGTGTTCCCCTGAACCCATAAGGACGAAGTGAGTGATGGAGTGATGTTCACCAATTTCTTCACAAGTCTCAGCCCAACAGAGCCAACCCGCACTTGGCGTGGCCCAGATGAAGCACTTCGCTTTTTGGAGCTATAGACTGTAGGTATGTTGGTTGGTAAGAACTTCTGCCAGACTTCTGCCCTGCATGCTTTGGTTTGAAAGAAACATCTAGTCCTATTTCAAGAAAATGTAAGGTTGGCATATCCCCTTCCTTCACATAGGCCGTTCTTCTGTTTCATCATGATACAGGATACACGACATCCTCGACCTTGAGCCTCCTAGAATGGTATTCTGACCTATTCTGACCCTTGCCATCCGAACACCCCAAAAAAAGAACCACTCACCCATGTTCGGAATGGAAAACCATCACCGACCCAAGCCCCACCCCCGTCCCCGGAGTTTCCCCGCCTGCCGGATCGTCGCGGTGCGAATCTCCCTCAAACCTCGGGATCCGTCAGATCCGTCGGCATGGTCGTCGGGGAGAAGCTGAATGGCGGTGGATCGTCCTCGGACTTCACTGGGCCGGTGGCCATCTCTGGCCATTGGGAGGATCTAGATAGGCCCTTGATCTGCCTGGACACAGAGAGGTCCTCTGAACTTTTGAGGAGGTGCACTGGATCCAATTGTGCACACCCTTTCTGCACTCCTTCCCCATCAAAAGTTTGGCGTGTTTCAGAAACCACACGTCCCGGATTCATTGAATCCAGCCATTTTCGTCAGCACCGAGAGGCTGTACTCCACTTCCCAGGACTTCGTGTCCTGCCGCACCAGGCTCGAAACGAAAAAACAAGACGTGGCTGGCGTGGCTCGTGTGGCTGGGCCCCAGGAGCTCTCTTCTACGAGGTGCTGGCACACATGGAGGGTGTCGATATATGCGGTAGCAATGTCCACTCACCTGTGCTCCAGACTTGTCACCTCAAGCATCACCGGAAGAATTCTCACTCCGAAGAGGTGGTGACGATGGCTCTCCATGAGGAAAAGCCATCGTGGTCAACCAAACATCGTGATGGTATCCAACTGCTCAAGGTGTCAATGAAGAGTTGATTCGATTGCAACTCGATCATTCTGGGACATTGGGCCCACCTCTGTCGGCCCATGTCCATCAAGGATGGGACATTCTTCAAACTATAAACCCCTTTCAAAGCTCTCCTTAGTGACGGAAACATGATTGAGAGTCATATGTCAAACTCCGGACGAAGTTTTTCATCACAGAGCAGAACAAAACCAGGGCATCTTCCGCGAAACAGACCTTGTTCTCCATTCATGGGTACGTGTATTTTAATAGGGAAACACCCAAAGAACAGGTTTGGGTCCATTCTCCTTGTTCCAGGCGGTCTTTGGGAGGCCTCCCTATTATAATACACACCCATATTTGTTCTTTAGAGGACAATTCTGAACTCCACAATTCTTCGCGACTGGGGGTCCTCCGAAGCAATGAGGTCTGGAGAGAGCAAGCGCACGCAGAAGGGCGTTCGCTTGGACTGCGCAGGAAACGAGGGCAGAGGCGGCGGGCGACACTCCGATTGGGCGCCGGCAGCGAAATGCGCCACACGGCACGCGGCGTCGGGTGCCGTACGCAGGGACTAGAGTGAGGTGTGTTGCCAACACTCAATGGAGCCGTACGTGAATCGAGCCAACAAGGGGGAATAACTACTGGCATGCATAGCCTACCAACTGTCATTGCTGTTGGAAGGTGTTGGAACCCACAAGACAAGACCTGACCTGCTCCTTGTTGCAGATGGGTTAGGGCTCTCCGAATCCCCGGTAGCTAAACACTTATAGTCGTGCAGAATGGTTGGCAAGAAGAGTCGAGATTTTCCTAAGTGTTAACTCTTAAGTCATCGTTCTTTCATGATCCATCCTCTCCAACTTTTGCCGAATCCAGGTGCCTTCTCTTAACAAACAAAAGCGGTTCAACAACAGCTCCTTGATGTCCAGCCTTTCAAGACCCGGAAGGCTTTCACTTAAGCCTTCCCCCTCCAATTCAGTGCTGCTTTAAAGAAACAAATAGAAACCCAGATGTCCCCCAACCACCCCCCCAACCCCGTCCCCCGAACCCCCCAACCACCTCGCGCGCCGCATGACACCGGTCTTCCCCCCGAACGGTCTTCCTCCGGCCGGTCGCCGAAGATCTGCTTCGGCTGCTCGGCCACGAAGCCGTAGGTCGCCGCCCGGGCCTCGACACGGGTGACGCCGGTGGACGGAAGCGAAGCGAAACGGAAGGGACCGGGTAGGACCCGGTAGGAAGCCACTGGGAGAGCAAGAAATCAGGGAAAGTGCACTAGTGCACTGGTCAGTTCAACCAGAAGGAAGCAATGAACTAAAGAAAGATGGTTTGAGGTTCACAGATGTGTTGGTGATGTGGGACAACACAAGGAAACCTCTCGAACCACGACGCTCTCTCAGACATCGGGCAACAATAATGCCAAGGATGGTACCATGCTAGTGACCACTGACCCACCCTTAAAACCTATGTCACATGTCATATCATCCTCTGTGAGCAAGGTGGTGTCTTAATGTGTCTTAAACTTCAATGGCTAAATTGATTTTGGCTTGGACAACATAAGCACCCGATTCACCCCATGAGCAAAACACCTGAGCAAGAAATCCTGATGTGGCGAACTTCTTTTAGTGGCCGAGCATGTCGCCAGAGCATTATCCGCCTGCTCAATTCTTAGCACTGCCTGGCGGTACTACTAGGAGCAAGGACGCTACTAGGGCTCCAGTCACCTCTGGAGTTGCTCGGGACTCTCCCAGCAGGTAATCTGGGGCCTTCTGATGAGTCCAGAATGTTACCGTAACCTCAGAGCTCAAGCCCTCAAAACAGCAGCCCCACCTGCCACAAGAATTGGCCCTCAAGCAGAACTCTCTTTAAGCCTTTAAGTCACACATCTGGAAGTTTCGGCAAGGACTCGTCTAGGCAGTGCACTGAATGAAACTATGATACACACTGCAGCCTGCCTGCCTAGGCAGTGCTGTGCTTTCAGAAACTCCACGGCAAAGCTGAGAGGGTGGATGCAGGAACCACCAGTTTCAGTGCGCAAACATCCAAAACACAAAGACTCGAAGCAGTGACAGAAAATGCTAAGTCAGTAAACAATTAGGGAATAGTTCTGGGCATAGCATGAGGATGTCCAGGTTCTTTCAAATTTGTCGTTGTGTTGTGCTGATGACAAGGCCCATCGATCAGCAATGCCAGGAGGTCTTGAAGACCCGAACACGCCGGACGTGAAAACTTGGTGCGTTTTGATGCGCGTTTTGCTGATGACCTGGAGAGAGGAGTGCCATCTCTTCTTCATGATTCTTCCCCCCCGTCATTGAGTCCGCACGAACACGATCACGTCTTCACGGAGGACCATGGCATGGGCCCCGAAGGAGGACCATTTTCTATCCGAAGACCAAGCAGGTGGTTCTCCGAACCCATGGGGTGCTGCTACTCGGAGGGTTGCAACGAATGATGAACACCATCGCCATGGCTTCATGTTAGAGGGAGGTAACATGAGGTAAAAATCCCAGGAGCCAATGCAAGAAACCATGTGTCCGACTGTTTTAGTGTACTTAAATGGTCTTAGAAGTGTCCAAAAAGCTCAAAACGTCGACTGACCTATTTAACGATCAGTTGGAGTGGTTGAAACGGAGTGTGTGTATTGCATAATGTTTAACTGCAATATGTCATATTATATATAGATACCAATCCCACGAAGTGTCTGGGAAAGCTCAAAGAAGCTTCTCTAAGGTGTCTCCAATGGCCAAGTGACTGACTCATCACTTGGAGAACCCGCTTGCAGACTGGAGGTGTTTCTGCTAACAGGGTAGAGTTGGATCCTGGAAGAAAAACAGAACATCCTCATGTTCTGCTTTTACAACTTGAAAATGCTGAGTGTTTACAACTTGAAATCTATTTACTCACAAGAACTGAGATCCCAAGCCACACTCAACCACTTCATTCATCTTGCAGTGTTCACGCTGCAGCGTTCGATTCATTGGCCAATTGCAGCGAACTCGATTCGGGTCGAAGCCCCTGACCCGTCTGGAGCCGCTTCTCGGCTCAGCGGAATGAACCGGTGACTTTGACCAATTCAGACCATTTGTGGAGGCGATCTGACAGATCTCTCGGGGAATGAGTGTCATTATGCTTGCTATCTAAGAGTAATCATAACTTCTTGATCATTCAACAAATCATTTCGGTCTCCTACGCAATCCAGGAGTTTCAGAGATCCCCTCATTTGCTTAGAGCAGAAGCTTCACGCCATGGCAGGCAGTCGGGTCGCCTGCGGATCCACGATGACTTCGAAGTGATGATTGACTTACCAGCACAACTATATATATAAAGTGTGAACGGAAAGCTATGAACCACTACGAACTACAACTACAACTACAACTGCTACTACTACTCCTACTACTACTACTACTACTACTACTACTACTACTACTACTACTACT